GTGACTTTTACTTCAATTAGATACATCTAAATAATATAGATTGCATTAATATGAAATGCATTTTAAATGCATTTAAATGCATTTAAAAGTTCTAAATAAACTTAAATTTCTGACTAATTACATTATCTGTTTTACATTATTTTACACTTCATTACATTACATTGCATTACATTACATTACGTTACTTTTAACTACCTTAGTCATGGGAAAATTGTAAAAAGTTGCTGTATGGTATGATCTCCCAAGCGTTTTGAACTAATCTAAGACACTGCTCTGCTAAAAGGGTTGCCTTACTGCTTTCTTGGACTCTTGCTAGTGTTCATGATAATGCTGGTACAAGAAGAGAGAGGAAACATGGACATGTGCAGTCGGTGCAGGGGAAACAGTCTCTTTGAGGCAGCAAAGAGGAATTACGTCTGTTTAAACAGACTGTGGAACAGCATCCTTAGGCAGCATTGGACAGTAGAAGAGACTCTCATTCAGTCAAAATACTCTTAGTCTAGGGAGAGACACAACTCTGAAAAAATACTCTCCTGGAGAGATTTTAAGTATAGTATCACTAATTGTCACCCACCTTGTGCCTGAATGTTTTCTTTTCAGGCCGTGCTCAGTCAGCACGTTTGTGGGATTGCAGCCTAACGCGGGTGTGCTCAGGCGTGTGGTATCTCACGTGCTCTCAGGGCTCTGTTGACAGTCTCCTAGTGTTCACAACAGATGAGTCTGGCCTATGGTATAGTTTTGGCGCCGCCTCCAACATATGGTACAGTTATTACTAGGTCAATGGAGACCCTGCTGCCCTCTAGTTCCTCTTGGTTGTTTCAGCTATTTGAGCCACCACACCAATCCACAAAGAAATTAGTTTAAAAGAAAGCATACACCACCATCACAGTGCAAAGTGACGAGGTGCTTTTGTTCACGACCTGATAAAGACCAGGAGACGCTGTAGCTAAATCAGCAAAGAAATACTGGCCAAAACCTCTCTGTATGTATTGAAGCTTACTTGAATATCGGTAGCATAAGCTAGATCTTTGAGTGCAGAATCATTATTAAGACAAGTGCATGACATATGTATTTGGGTTTTTTCATGCATTTTCACTCAGGCCACAAATTCATAGTATCAACATCATGATGTAAGAAAAAAATGCAGTGCATGGATTTAAAGATTTTTTATTGGATACACAAATTTGTGGCAACCCTGCATAGAGAACAGTTGCGTGCACAACTCTGGTGGCTAAATGGGGCTTGCTTTGCATGTGTAAGTACAATTCTGTTCCTGAAAATGCAAACAGTAATTTACTCCTACTTCACCTTGGAAGGATAGCTGAAGATTGTGTTGGGTACCTTTTAAGAACTGAAGCCAGGTGGCGAGCTGTTGCAGTTTCAGACAAAGTCAGTGTTTTCTGGGTTTTGGTCATCTTCCAATAAATTGACCATATAGCTAGCTACCAGGTACCCTTTTCTATCAGTGCCCTGTGGTGGACACTTTCTCTCTTTTCCAGCTGGACTGTTGCACTGAATTGGTTCACCCACCAAACTTTTAATAGAGGTACAGTCTGGAATAGTACCTAATCAATCCATGACAGCAGGATGCATTCAGTCAGAATGTGTAGTAAGCAAGGAGGGAGTGGAAAAGCATTTGGGCTGAGTACTCAAGTATGGCAACATCCAAGAGACATTTTTGACCCAGCTTTTTATTTGCCAGACATTTCACAGCTTGTTTTCTTTTAATTTGAATGCTTCATATTGAAAAATGGAGAACACAAAGGAAGCAAAAGCAGAAAGGTTTCATGATCACATTTTTAGAAATACAGATCTTAGTATTTTAATTCCAGATAGCCTGTAATTTCAAAAATCCATTATACTAAACCCCTTTTAATTCTCAGTTGAAATGAAAAGCTTTATAGGGCAGAGGTTAAATGAACTATTGTGTTTATCTCATGACTGATATATTTTAGTTGGTTTGGCTCTTTAGAGGGGAAGAGAAAAACAAACCCTCAGATATTTGCACAGCTTTACTGAAAATAAAATGGCAACAACACCAAAAATGTCCTATTAGTCCACATTAGTACTGCCAGATCAGCTGCTCAACCTTGCCTCTGTACTTGGGAAAAAGTACTTTCTAAATTAAAAAAATAAGACTGAAAGACTACAAAAGTTCTTCTAACCCATCCCCTTGTTTTAAGGCAGAGTTAGAATTTTGTGTCATTCCTGAAAAATATTTGTCTACTCTTCTTAAAGCTTCCCGTGAAGGAGACTGACAACGTCCGCAATCCTTAACTAACCTCAAAGATAGAAAGTTTCTTCAAGTTTTTGGCTGAATTTTTTTTGCTGTAATGCAAGCCCATTAGTTCTTATCTTACCCACTGTAGACAGAGTGAACAAACTGTTCCCTGCTTCTTCATGATAGCCTTGTAAAAACTGTTATTATGCCCACTCTCAATTTTCTCTAATTTAGCCTGATCAGTTCCAGTTCTCTCAGTCTTTCTTCATAGGTCATGTTTTCTAGATCTCTGATCTCTTTCCTCTCTCAGGGCTTTTTCAGACAGTTCATTTCTTTCTTTGAAATCTGATGCCCAAAAATGGATGCAGTATTCCAGCTAGAGCTTTGCCACTGCCAAGCAGAGTTGAAGGATTACTTCCTGTGCTTTGCAGACTGCTCTCCCGTACATGTCACAGAATGGTGATTGCTTTTTTTTGCAGTAGCACAACTGTGACTCTCGCTCAACTTGTGATCTGCTATATCTTCCAGATTGTCATTTGGTGTTCCCAATCCTGAACAGCTGATTATTTCTGCCTGCGCGTAGTCCCTTCTGCTTTTCTGTACAGCATTTCAAACTTCTTTTCTGAGCAATGCTCCAATTTCTGAAAATTATTTTAAGTTCTTGCAGTGCCTTCCGGTTGCGCATTTGCAGACTTAGTCAATGTGGTTTCTGTTCTGTCATCTGAGTTCTTAACGAGAACATTGCATTTTGTAATGGACCTCCAGCCAGCAGGTCTTTTCAGTTGTTTAAAGACTCATTAGTAACTACTCTCTGGTTATGGGCATTCAAACACTTTTCCCTCACTTTATAATACTTTAATCTAAACCTTGTTTCTTAAATTTGCTTATGAAATTGTTATGTGAAATGGTGTTAAAAATCTTGCTGAAATCAAAATATATGACGAGTTGTTTTCACTGTTGTGAATCCTTTCAGCCTCCTTTCAAGCACAGTAGACTGACTTGTGATTTGTTCTTCACAAGTTCATGTTGACTATTACTCATCTGCTTATCTTTCAGTGTTTTCAAATTCTTTATTTGTTCCATTTTTTTCAGTGCATTGAATTTGAACCGGCTGCTCTATAATCATAGAATCATAGAACGGTTTGGGTTGGAAGGGACCTTAAAGATCATCTAGTTCCAACCCTCCGCCATGGTCAGGGACACCTTCCACTAGACCAGGTTGCTCAAAGCCCCATCCAACCTGGCCTTGAACACTTCCAGGGATGGGGCATCCACAACTTCTCTGGGCAACCTGTTCCAGTGCCTCACCACCCTCATAGTGAAGAATTTCTTCCTTCTATCTGATCTAAATCTACCTTCTTTCAGTTTAAAGCCATTACCTCTTGTCCTATCAGTATATGCCCTTGTAAAAAGTCCCTCTAAGACATACATCTACTAGCCGTCTCACATACCATCTTTGAGAACTTCTCAGTGACAATGAGTAATAGTTCTGAGGTCACTTCATTCCCTTCTTGGCTGTCCTAGGATGAAGTTCATAATACATACCTGATTTGAAAACTTATAATTTGTGGAAATGTTCTCTAGTTTGTTTCCCTATTTTAGGCTGAGATTTTACGTCTTTGCAACTAGATTAGCCACATGCTCTCAGATGACTCTTCTAATAAAAGTGTGCAAAAATGTATTAAACACTTCAGCTTTCCTCGTCTTTTGGCAGTACTGTTACTTTTCTGCTAAGTTGTGGACCAGCTCTTTCCATAGCCACAACAGAGTAGCCGTACTGCAAATTCCCAATACTGAA